ATTGATCAAGTTAAAGATTCTGGGTGCCTTCTGTCCAATCCTTAAAATCAAAGGTTCTTGCTTGGTCCTTTTGTATGCCTAGTGAAAGTTTGAATCTCAAATTTGACACCAAATATTGTGATTTGAACGTGAATTTGTATTCAATTTTTTCACATGTAGCTTAAACAACCGGATTATCTTAAAGTTGAGAGGCTTGTTAATAATTAAGCCATGTTCTTTTGGATATATGTACAGGTTAACTGTTAATTAATGATTAGTACGATCAAGATTAGACAATTAATAAGATCAACTGCTAAATATAATAGATTTATATTATGAAAAACCTGTATTTATTTTAGAAAGACAACAAAATTGAGTTTAGATCATAAAATAATTTTGTAAAGGGATCGTTATTCTTATCTAAATGTTGCAAAACGGCCCATCGAGGTTTTGTAGTTTGCAAATTTACCCCAAAGCAGTTCCTGACTTTTCAGAAATTTGCAAATCAGAATTTTCGGCATTTCGCACACTTGTCCTGACCTTTTCCTGAATTCCAATCCCTGAAGTTTAATTCTCGTTCAATTCAATCCCTGAACTTTCTGATCATTGCAAACCGGTCCCTATGGTTTCCGACTGTTTCAAATAGAAATTATTATAAACGTTTGTTATGCAGTCTAATAATATATCCAAAAAGTGCAATTAATTAGATAAAACTTTTCTAAAACTCATTTACCTTTAAACTCGCATTATGAGGGTCGTCTAGGTTTCAATTTCATCGCACGTCAAAATAGTAGCTTAGGGCCTTTTGTATACCCATTTAAGTATAGTTGCTCGTCTAAAGGTTTCGTGACAAAAAACCTTGTTACTTGTAAGTCAAAATCATTCTATACCAGTTCTTTTTTAAAAAAAAATAAAATTGATTGATTCCAAAGTACCATCATCATTCATCAATGGCTGCTTTTTCAGACTCACGTATGACGTCGTGGAGTTTGAGGTTGGAGTGGAAAAGGAGGGACATTTTCCTTTATTCACTCACTCTGGGAAACATATAAAACTCCAAAACTCCATCTGTAAATACCCATGCTATGCTGCAGGGTTACTACAATATATTTTAATATCAAGAAAATGTTTTGCTGTACTCAAGATTTAGAATTCACTAAAATATACTGTGTTCAATGCCCACAAACAACACTGCCTGCACACATTCACACACATACACGTGTGTGTCTGTCTGTAACAATGCCACACACTATATATAATCACATTTTCTCTCAAATCTCAAATTCCAGACCAAAAAAAAGAACAACAGGGGCAAGTACATTAGCATCTTCGATATTCATGTCTACGTCGAATATTTCAAGTGCATTTTTCTGAATTCTCAAGGGGCATTAATTGAATGCAAATCTGTTCCTATTTGCAATCTGAGGTACGTAAATTTCCAAACTCTTCAATGAATATATTACGTATATAGTTCTATCGTTATATGGTTAAATGTCATTAGTTTTTCACCGGAAATTGCACTTTAGGTTCAAATGATCGATGCACATAAGTAGCATTTAGGAATAGACATACAGAATCGACATATTGTTGAAAATGAGTTTTAAATTCTTTTCAATGTCCTGAATATTCACGGAATGTGAGAAGGAAACAAACTTCTCTTAGGTTCAAATGATCAATGCACACAAGTAGCGTTTAGGAGTAGATATACAGATCGACAGATTGTCGAAAACGAATTTTAGATATCCTTCAATGTCCT